GCCTGCATCAGTAGCCTAATTTCTTGTTGGTTGTTTTGGTTAGGTGTGGTTTTCAAGACAGGGTTTTTCTGTGTAGCCATAGCTGTCCTGGAACTGGAACTCTCTGTAGACCAGGCTGGCCTTGAACTCAGACATCCACCTGCCTCTGCCTCCTGGGTTCTGGGATTAAATAATTGATTGTTCTTATGTTATGTGTATTGTGTTTGTTGTGTGTGTGTGTCTATGCGAAGGTGTCAGATCACAAGGAACTTGAGTTACAAACAGTTGTGAGCCACCATGTGGTTGCTGGGAATTGAACCCAGGTCCTCTGGAAGAGCAGCCAGTGCTCCTAACCTTTGAGCTGTCTCTCCAGCCCCCAAGTGCTGGGACTAAAGGCCTGTGCCATCCCTCACTGCCCAGCTTTGATTTGTTATTTTAAACAGTCTCACTATACTGCCCAAGCTGACCTCAAACACACAGCAATCCTCCTGCCTCAGCAAGCCCTCCCCCCCCCCCCCCAATTCCAGAGCCTCCTTTCTTTCAAGCATTCTGATTGACTCTGGATTTCCAGGACTCACCCATAAAGCCGCTCCTGTCCAGCCCCAGCTCATGTGTGTGGACACCACTCAGGGTAGAGGCTTCCTCCAGCGTGGCCCCTTGCACGGGGGGGGGGGGGGGGGAGGACGGGACCCTCTCCCCGACCCGTGTCCTCCCCAGCCCATCCCTTTCTAATTTGCATATTCTGTTTTTAGCATCTCTTCTGGATTTTACATAATCGTGTCATTAGGAGGCTGTCATGGGAACCGAACGATCCCGTTTCAAAGCAGCTTCTGGGAGCTAATTGCACGTCTTCCCTCTCCGTTTCTTTTTAAACGACGTTTACATTTGGGGGTAGATTGACAGAGCGAGCTAACTTAGGAGCCAAGGCAAAGGTGTGCTTGTGTGCCCCCACGCGATGTCCCCGTGACTCGGGCCTTAGGGTGACCCTGCCGCTTCACCGGGACAGTGAGGCGGAATCAGAACGCGCAGAATCCTTCTCCAGCAGCGACTCACAGACTCTCTCTGTTGGAGTCCTGATTCAAGGTCAGGCCAACTTTGCTGTGACGTCGTAGCCTGGGGACAGTTTCTCCGATGCGCTCTGCTTAGGGACTTGGTGAGGAGGCCAGGGCAGAGGTTTTATCTGCTCCCCGTGATGCCTACTATCTCCCCTCATGCTCATCCCCCACAGAGGGGCTGGGTCCCGGCTCTGCAGAGGGTGTTTCCGGGCCCCGGGGGAGCCCTGGCCTCAACTGGAAAGTCAAAGGAAAGCCATGGTGAGGAGAGCCCTCAGCCATGGCGCCCCTGATGCTAAGCTGGGGGTGGGGCGCGGGGGGTCGCCGGTCGCCATCCTTTGCCATTGCAGGATGACTGTGGGTCCCTCACATCTCTTCCTGTGGAGGCCAGAGGCTGACGTGTGGGGCTCGGCTCTCTGTCTGCCATGCCAGCCCAGGGACTGAGCTGGTCCGTCCGGCTTGGCGCATCACAGGCCTCCACTCACCGAACCCTCTGCCAGGCTCGAGTTTTGAATGGAATTTAGTTTGGCACATTCTCTCGTCGTTTCCTTCTCCGAAATCCCGGCGGCCACTGTGGGGTGACGCTTCCTTCTGGATCTTGGGCCATGTCACAGCCCGGGAGCTCCTGGCCTAGGCTGAGCACCTGGCCTGCCGGGGAGACCCCATCCTGAACGCATGCACGGGGGACTCAGCTGCCTCCCAGCCCGGTGGAGACAGCTTCAAGGATCCCGAGATGCCAGGGAGCCCTCTGCCAGGGCAGTGCTGAGTGTTGGCGGGGAAGGGGACAGGCGCGCTCACCAGCAGGGAAACTGGGCGTCTTGGCACACGATTGTCAGCCCCGCGCTCTGGGAGCCGAGGCAGGAGGATGTCCAGGGGTCTGAAGCCAGCCTGGCCTGCGGAGCTCAGAGACCATTTCAACCTGCCTCCAGCAGTGGCCGAAGCGTGAAATACTTCCAACAGCTGGAATTCGGTCCTTAGGCTCAGCTGCCCACCCAGGACCGTGTCCCCGGTCCCTGGTGTTTCCTGCTCTCTCGCCCGTGCCCCGCACCCCATCCACTGTGGAAGCCGTCACCCTCTGCTCCCCGCCTTGGCAATCAGTGTTCCTGGGTGACATATTTAGATGGTTGCTATGGTGACGATGTTGACAGCTTCATGTGGCACAAAAGACGGGCCCCGCTCTGCTATATCGAGTCTGCAGGAGACCGGGTGCCTGCACCACGTGCCCATGTCGGCGTGGGACGGGAAGGGGGCTCAGACAGCCCATCCCGCCCCCTCGCTCCCCGCTGAGGAGCTGCGACCCCGCAGAGGTATGCCTGTCACCTTGAGAGGCGTGCAGGGAGGAGCACTCTAGCCCGCCTGGGGTGGCTGTGTCCTCCAGGGGACACCGGGCCTGGCCTGGGGACCTTCGTGGCTGCCCCAGCTCAGGGAGGGCCTGGCATGCGGTGGATGGGGTTCTGTGGAGCCTCTTCAGGGCCTGGGGTGCCCGCTGAAATGACCCAGGACATGTGCATGGCGCCCCCCACCCCAACCCACCCCGGGGCTAATCATGTGGGGGGCTGGGAGGCCGTCACAAACCACCTGACTCCCGAAACTTGACGAGGGAGAGTTCGCTCTGGCCACGGCCCCAGCCGCCCACCGTGGCGGGGAGGGCGTGGAGCCGGAGGTCAAGAAGCAGAGAGAGGTGACCCCTAGACTCAGCTCTCTTGTCCCTCTTCGGCCTAGGCCCATGATGGCACCACCACGGTCAGGGCTGCCCTTCCCGCCTCAACAGAGACATGGGGGTGCAGGGGGCAGAGGCCCGTCCCCCTGTGGATTCTGGACCCCGTCACTGCTGCAGTGACGGTGAACACCGAGATCACGCTGAGGCCGGGGGTGGCTGTGGGTGGGAGGCCAGCCCGGACTGCAGAGTGGGATCGTGCCTGGCCCATGCGCCCCCGACCCCCGGATGAGCAGCGAGGCGATGGCCCATCCCCAGGGTGCCCTGGGCTGGGTTTCTGTTTGTCCGTTTGAGACAGGAGCTCGCTGTGTAGCCCAGGCTGGCCTCCAGCTCAGCGCTCACGGCCTCCTGAGTGCTGGGGTTAGGGGCATGTGCCACACCTGGCTTGTTCACTTCTTTCTCGGGCCCCTTGTCCCCGTAGGTGTCACAGCCGGTTGTCAGGAGGTGAAATTGGGGGCATGGCTGTTGCGGCTTATGGGAATCGGCTGAACACGTGCTGGCTTTTTAACGGGTCCCAGCGGAACCTGGGGACGGTGCCCGGTGGTCGAGAGCTCGGGCACCACGTGGCTGGGGGCATCTGTGACATAGTAGTCTCCGAGGCTCTGAGGCCCCGTTCTGAGGGAGGGAGGGCCTGGGGTGGGCTGCTTGGGGTCCCTCCTTGGCTCCTTTACTGGCACCCATCTCCATGTGACGCTCTCCTGGGCCCCCATGGCAAGGGCGGGAGGGGACAAGGAGGCCATCGTTCGAGCCATCCACAGATGAGACTGAGAAGAAAGCCAGGAAGAAGGAGCCATTTGAGGGTTCAGGGAGAGAGGGCAGAGGCCGGGGATGGGGGCAGAGGCCGGGGATGGGGCACCGGGTCAGCTCCGAAGCCCGGGGACCCGCAGTGGCGCCTGGGGACACGGAATTCCTGGCAGGGTGGACAGCGCTCTGCACCCCACGCGGAGCCAGACTGAGGCCTGAGGGGACCCCGAGCTAGTTGGGAAGTTCAGCCCCCTGCTCGCCGCCCACACCCCGGGTGGTGTCGCTCAGGGGACCCCAGCTCCTGGGACCCGCCCGCGTGTGCCCAGCTCCTCGCTTTGGAACTCGCTCGCCCAGACCTCTCACCAGCTCAGGGGCCCCTGTGGCGCCAGCCCTTTCAGCAGGGGTCCCCGCCGCTCCCTGCAGCGCTGCTGCCCCCTTCTGGCGGCAGCCGGGATCGAAGCTGCCCGTGACGGCAAAGCCCCAGGCTCCGGGTTCCCAGCCCCGCACAGGACAGCCTGGGCTACACAGTGCGGGAGGACAGCCTGGGCTACATGAGACCCTATGTGGGAAAGGAAGGAGAGGGACAAAAAAGGGCTCATCGCCGAAGAAGCAGAGGCAGGAGGATTGTGAACCTGAGGCCAGTCAGAGCCACGTAGAGAATCTTGTCTGGATGATGATGGTGATGATGGTGGTGATGATGATGATGGTGGTGATGATGATGATGATGATGGTGGTGATGATGGTGATGATGATGGTGGTGATGGTGATGATGATGGTGGTGATGATGATGATAGTGATGCTGCTGCTGCTGCTGCTGCTGATGGTGATGATGATGGTGATGATGGTGGTGGTGATGATGATGATGATGATGGCGGTTAGAGGGCTCAGCAGATAAAGGGGCTTGCTCTTAAGCCTGAGGTTGTGAGTTCGAGCCCCAGACACACACACACACACACAACAAAACAAATAAATAAACAAAAAACAAACACGAAAACGGTCTTGGGGATACCGGGGTCTGGGGAATAAACCCAGACGTCAAGCATTTATCGTGCTCCTGCTGTATACAAACGGCTTCGTAGAAATGACCTTCAGGAGAGGCGGTGTGGGCTGAGCTTGCCCACGGCCGGGATCCCCACGCGCATGCCCATGGCGGCGGCAGGAGAGGCACCCCACCTTCTTGACCCTGCATCCCCACGACGGGCAGTCCCCTGCCTCGGCTCCCCTAGGCCTCTCTCCAGCTCTGCAGACGAATGTCTCCTTCCCGCCCACTCCCACCCGCGATTTCCCTCAATTATGAATTCCGCCTCATCCTCGTGGCAAATTGCTGCTCCCGTCAAGCCGCCCCCGCGGGCTCCGAACCCCGCGGTGTGTCAGGGCCTCCGGGGCGGTCGGCGGAGGGAGGGTGCCAGGCGCTGCCTGGGCCGGGCGTGACCTCCTGTCCACACAGAGCGGGTCGCCAGCCCGCTCCCCGTGGTGCCAAACTGACGCACGGTGTGTTTCCCTTGCAGGGCTCGGGGGCTTCGGGGCGGAACCTCGGTGCTGGCGGCGGCTCGCGGAGCAGGTAGGTGCTGTGCTGGGGCTGGCGGGGTGGAGCAAAGGGGGCCGAGAGGGTGGGGGGCGCCCTGGGGGGCCGTGAGGATGTGGGGTGACCTCCCCCCGAGCCTGGGGCAGGGTGCAAAGGTCACCGCCATGCCATGGGTGTCTCTGCCGCCTCTGCCGCACCCCATTCCCCATACCCCGTTTCCCGCACCTCTTCCCCGCACCCCATTCCCGTACCCCATTTCCCGCACCCCATTTCTTGGACCCTGTTTCCTGCACCCCATTTCCTGCACCCTGTTTCCCGCACCCCGTTCCCGGGTCTCCAGGGTCAGGGCTCGCTCGTTCTTAGTCCCAGCTCAGAGGTGAAATGTTTCGGATGTGGTTTGAGATTTGGCTTCACTTTCTGCCCCTGTAACGAAACGCCCGAGACTGTGGCTCTGTCGAGCAGGAGGGTTCGTTCTGACGAAGCTGGGAACCGGCTGGGTTAGTCCGTTTGGTGCCTATGACAAAGCGCCCAGGGCGCTGGTGCTTTAGAAGACGATTCTTCTTAGTCTGAGTCCCGTGGCTATTACAGAACACCTAAGGCTGGGGAGCCTTAGAAAGGAAAAAGGTTTACCCGGAGGCTCGGTTCTAAAGTGAAGGTTTGGGGGGCAGCATGGGGCCTGGGAGTGATCACGGGGAACACACTCAAGCCAGGCCTGGCCACACGTTTAGCGACAGGGTCCTATGACGTAGCCCGAGTTGACCTGGATCTCACAGAAATCCTCCTGTCTCTGCCACCCGAGTGCTGGGATTCAAGGCGTGCGCCGTTGTCACGTCTTTAAAAAAAAATAACAATTTATTTTCTGTGTTGCTGTTTGGGGTGTCCCGGAACTGCAAACACAGCGGTTGTAATCTAGTGGTGTGGGTGCTGGGGCCCAAACCCGGATCCCCCGTGACAGCAGCCAGTGACTTGACCTCGGAGCCTTCAGGTCTTTATAGAATAATCACACGTACTTCCTTGCACGCGTGCGCATGCCCCGGAACACGTATGGAAGCCAGAGGAGAATGTGCGGGAGGCGGGCCTCTCCGTCCACGAAGGGGACTCGAACCGCGGTCCCCGGGCTGCCCCCCCCCCCCCCCCCCCCCGTTCGCCTTTGCTGCCGGCGGGAGCGGCACCGCTGTTACCACGTGCGGCCACCAGGGGGCAGGAGAGCTCCGTGCGTCTCTGCAGCCCGGCTCGCTGGGGCTGGGCGATGGTGTGTGTCCCCGACGGCTCGGGTGCGGGTGTCCACGCGGGCAGGACCTCGGGGGGAGCAGGTGGCGGGTGACACGCGGTGGCCCGGGGTCCCCGGGAGCCCCCGAGTCAGGGCCTCTCTGCGGAGAGTGGTGCGTTCGCCCGTCAGGACTGGTGAAGACTGTTGACAGATGGCTGAGCAGCCCCCCCCACGCCCACAGTGCTGGGCACTGCCCTGTCTCGGTACCCGACCCGAAATCTCACCCAGCCATGGTGGAAGCCTTTTTGTTTGAGACCTGGCCTCTCGTAGCCGAGGCTAGCCTCAAACAGTGGGTAGAGCTGCTCAGGACCCTGAGCTCCTGAGCCCCAGGTCTACACCTCCTCAGTGCTGTGTGACAGGTGTGTGTGTGCCGCCAACTGCTAGGGACAGGGCCTAGGGCTTCATGACCACCAGGCAACTGAGCTACACGCACCCCACCAACTGAGCTACCAGCATCCCACCAACTGAGCTACACGCCCCACCAACTGAGCTACAAGCACCCCACCAACTGAGTAACCAGCACCCCACCAACTGAGCTACCAGCACCCCACCAACTGAGCTACAAGCATCCCACCAACTGAGCTACACGCACCCCACCAACTGAGCTACACGCACCCCACCAAGTGAGTAACCAGCACCCCACCAACTGAGTTACAAGCACCCCACCAAATGAGCTACAAGCACCCCACCAAATGAGCTACAAGCACCCCGCCAACTGAGCTACACGCACCCCACCACCTGAATCACCAGCACCCCACCAACTGAATAACCAGCACCCCACCACCTGAATCACCAGCACCCCACCAACTGAGCTACAAGCACCCCACCAACTGAGCTACAAGCACCCCACCAACTGAGTCACCAGCACCCCACTGGCTGAGCCACACCCCTACGGTCCCCTCCTAAGCCCCAGCTAGGAGCTCCCTCTTTGAAACCCTGGCCGCCTAATTTTAGCCATTTGAAAGTCGAGGTCCAGAAAAGTCTGTGCACAAAGAGCTGGAGCCTCCCTTGCTGCCGCGGATGACGTTGCTAAGCAACCTCCCGAAGCTTCAGCCTCCCCAGAGCGGGCGGAGCTGATGCAGGGACAGGTCATTCCTGGATGTGCTGGGCCCCACCTCTGACTCAGTGCATGTGGGGTGACAGTCATGTATGATGATATCAGGGGTGGTGGGGACGTGTGGGGGGCGGCGGAGCTGGCCCCTTGCCTCAACTTAGGGTTATTTTTATTTATTTGAGGGGTGTGTGCCCACTGAGGTCAGAGGCAGCGATCTCCTGGAATTGGGGCCATGGGTGGCTGTGAGCTGCCATGTGGGTGCTGGATCCGAACCAGGGTCCTCTCACCCCTTAAGCCTTCTCCCCAGCCTCGTCCCTAGCTTTGGCTTCTCACATGCGTGCCTATACCGTGTTCACAGCTGCCGCTGGGTCCCCACCTGGAGAACAGGCCTGGTGTTCCATCCTGATGTGTCCTTGGCCCATCGGGGGCGGACACATGCCGTGAAGGCGCTGTGCGTTAGGTGTCAGCTCGGAAGTTGGGGTACAGGGCCGCTCCTGCAGAGGACCAAGGTCTGGCTCCCCACACTCTGCCCCGCGAGCCCAGGCCCCATCTCTTCCTTCCTGTTCCAGCCCCCTGGGGACTGTTTGTCAAGGTTCTCTCCACCCAGAACACCAGCCTGTGTGTGTGTGTGTGTGTGTGTGTGTGTGTGTGCGCGCGCGCATGCGTGTTAGTGTTTAAATGTTTTTAGTTAAAATATAAGCTGGGGCTGGGCATGCTAGCACACGACTGTAACTTCAGCACTCAGGGAGGCAGGGGCGGTTAGATCTCTGTGAGTTCGAGGCCAGCCTGGTCTACAGAGTGAGTCAGGAACAGCCAGGGCTGCACAGAGACACCTTGTCTCGAAAAGTCAATACATACATGCAAGCATATGTGTGTATGTATACATACGTGTATATGTACATATATGTGTGCTGGGTGGTGGCGGCACACGCCTTTAATCTCAGCACTCGGGAGACAGAGGCCAGCCTGGTCTACAGAGTGAGTTTCAGGACAGCCAGGGCCACACAGAGGGGTGTGTGTGTGTGTGTGTGTGTGTGTGTTATACATACAGGCAGGGGCAGGCTTTGGTTGGCTGTGAGTGAGTAGGACAGAATGACCTCCGGAGCAGCTTCGGCGAGACTGTGATTTTATCCTGGTGAGCAAAGGCCAGGATGTAGCTCTTAGCGGGAGGGCGGAGGGTTTCCCAGGGTAGACGTTCAGTATTGGCCGGGCTGGAAGCTCCAGGTGCTTCATTTGCTTTTGGCAGCAGGGGCCGATCATGAAGGAAACAAGACACCGTACGTGTGTGTGTGTGTGTGTGTGTGTGTGTGTGTGTGTGTGTGTGTACACACAGATATATACCGTTTCTCCTCCCTTCCCTCTCCCAGCCTCCTGACTGCCTTCTGTTGAACCTGTCCAACTGAGGGGGTTCCGGTGTCCCCCAAGGTGACTAGCCTCTCTTTCCTCTATTATATTCGTCACGTATGTGTGTGTGCACAAATATATGTAAATACCGCCTGCTGGGTCTGGCTTTGTCTGCGCGCGCAGGGTTCAGGCCCCGCCCCCCGCCCCGGACCACCGTGTGTGCAGTTTAGTTACTTGTCTATTGAGATGATGGAACACCATGACCGAGGCGACGTATAAAAGAAGCGGTTTCCTTCGGGTCCCCGTTTCAGAGGGCCAGAGGCGGGAGTGGAGCCAAGGGGCGGACAGCTCACCTCTTGACCACGACCAGCCTTCTCAGTGTCTGCGCCGCCCCAGCCTTGGGTGGGCAATGCCGTACCGTGTGCGCGTTCGTGCGTGCGTGCATGTGTGCGCGTGTGTGTGTGTGTGTGTGTTTGTGTGCGAGTATGTGCGTGTGTGTACGTGTGTGTGTGTGTGCGAGTGCGTGTGTGTGTGTGTGTGCGTGCGAGTGTGCGCGTGCGTGTGTGTGTGTGTGTGTTTGTGTGCGAGTATGTGCGTGTGTGTGTTGGGGGCTCTGTGCAAGCACCTGGCTCCCATCATGCTCTGCCTTGCTCCCTTGAGATGGGGTCCCTTACAGATCCTGGAGCCAGGCTGATTTAGAGGGAATGTGTGCTGAGCCTGTCTGTAGGTCCCGATTTTTATCCCAAGGTTACTCGTGAGATAGGAATGCTTGTCACCAGCCGAGACTGGAGACTGGGGAGGTGGCTCAGCGTGTGGCGCCTTCGCTGGCAGGGCGATTGTGAAGACCCAAGTTCAAATTCCCAATGCTCCTGTAAGAAGTTGACTGCCCCTAGCGTGTGGGGAAGTGGAGGCAGGAGGATGGCGAGGATCCCTGGCCAGACACAGTCCAGCTTAACGGGTGAGCTGTGTCCACCCAGACGCCCCTGAGGTGCGGCGAAGGAGGGAGGCTGAGGGCCGGACCTCACGTGTCCTCCTGCTCAGGACCCGGCCAAACACTTCGGGGACAGCGAGTGAAGCCTCCGGGCATTGTGCCAGTCGTGCCCTGAGGAGGAGTAAGGATCTCACATGGTTTCCCGGGCTGAGTCAGCGCTGAGCCTCCTGGAATGCCACACAGTGTCCCCAGCGCCCTGACACCGCGCTGAATCAGAGCTGTGCCGGGCACCCACCCCTGTGACCCCCTGACCTCTGTGGCCCCGGGGAGCCCAGGAACCCAGCAGCAACAAGAGGGGCAGGGTGGGGGCTCATACCCAGAGACACTGGCCAAGCTTGGAGGAGGGGGAAGGGAGGCAGCCATGGGCACAGCCCTGT